AGTATGGTAAAGTTATCGTAACGATATAGATTCGATATCGAATCTATATCGTTAGAATTTTTTGAGTTTCTGTAAAGAATGCTAGGATATAAAAATGCAAAATCCAGACCTATTACAGGTCTTTCTGTTATAATACCTTTTTTAAGTGGAAATACATATGCACTGGAATACTTCCCTATATGTGCTGAGAAGGTTCTGTACCTTCATTCCATTTGCGTGATAATGTGTGTCGAAAAGCGAAACATAAACTATGAAGGCAACTTTTTTATAATCATTTATTATACTTTGGTTTACCAAAAGCTCTTGATAGCGCAGTTCATTTATAATACAGTATTGTGCTACTTCACACATATTTCTCACAGTTAATGAAGAGGAGCTTTTTTTCGCCTCTGAATAGATTTTTCACATTTTATCGTATGACATATCAGCCTTACTGTCAAGACCGAATTTTTGTAGGAAGAATTTAAGTGAGCCTTCCTTCTCAACTTCAGAATGAGAAAAACGTTTTTTGAGGCATACTCAGACGTTAATTGATACACAATCTGGCAGTTTAAGGAAGCTAGAAGTAAAATAATCTCCTGTACTGATTTTGATCTTAATTGGACTGCCCATATATTCTTTCTCTTCCAGATCCTCTTCACCTTCCTCAGGAGCCTTAACAGGATACTTTTTCATAAAATCATTTTCAGATTTCGCTCCTATCTTTTCACAATATTTCCATTTTATAATTTCTTCCTTTGTTTTGAACTTTCTTGTCATTCACTTCCACATCCATTCGAGTATGTTGAAATGATATGCTCTTTCCATAATAAAACACCAATCATAGTCTAAATCGTTAAACCCAATATGGATATCAGGTGCAAATGCTCGCCAGCAGAGAGCGAAAGCTTATAGTAGATTTACTTGATTTCTGCAAATGATTGTGATTCAGTGTAAGTCTGATTCTATTTCAACATCGACAAAACATATTTGCTTTAGTGGTTTTGAATCATCTTTCCAATGCAATATCATAGAAATCATAAAAACATTATGATTCAGATCAAGGACTTTAGCAAATTCACCTAATTCTTGTGATTGCGTCTCTATATCCCAAGTGAGAACAAGAGTATGATCCTGTAGGAGAGCTGAAATAGGAAATCAGTTACTTATTGTTGTAAGATCTTCTAGTGAACAGAAATCTTTTATAGATACATAGAATTTGTATGGACAAGTGGGCTGGTCTGCTTACCTTTCTTACATATATATTTGTTTATTGTAGACCATCCAGAGAGTTAGATTCCATTTTCTCGAGCTACCTTTCAGTGAAATGAGTATAAATCGTCTGAAGCAGTTTTGAAATTTTTTTCTTGGATAGCTTGGATGGCTTTCTTTCTCTCTCCAGTACTATTTGTATAAATGCGTAAATATGACTTCTTTTTGGTATGATAACCCCGGAAAAGAAATGCTTTAATGTGTTCTAATTTATATGATTTCACAATGCCAAAGAGAATTTCGCTCACCTTTTCTTTGCATTTATCTGGAGTTTCTCTGTCTGGTACGAGAATGTCAAAGAAAACCTGAATATCCATAAGAGTTACCAGTACCTTTTGGCCATTAATAAGATGACCATAAAGACGCAATATATAGTGGTATGTTCCATTTATCCTTTCTGTTGATCCTTCATTTTCAATAGCCATGAATGGAATTTCTTGTCGTTTAAATAGAGCATTCTTGAGTATTGGAGTTAATCCCTCATCATTTCTTGCAACTATATCATCCAGTGTTAAAAAGCCCAACAAGTATTTTTCACTGAAAAAAGTGAATTACTTGGGCTTCCATTTATCTTTTTCAGCCTTTGGGTGAAAAAGGGCGGGACGTCGAGAAACTCTAAAAGTTCAGATTGGGTTATTTTTAGATAACTTTTGAAAGGTATACTATATCCTAAACTTGGGATATATTATTCTGGGAAAAAAGTTTAAATAAAAAAATAATTATAGTAATTTAAGAGATACCCAATGAGAGTTGAATTTATTTGCCAATATATTTCTAATGAAGGGAATGTATGCGGACAAGCTAGTATCTGAGAAGAAGAATGCAAAATTCATTGGAAAAGGTGTCAGCAAAACTCTTGTAAACAATGTAAGAAACCAACTACCTCAATCCATGATATGTGTAATTTACAAGTAGATAAGTATTATTCAAAAACATATTCCCATAGGAAGAACCTAAATGCCTTAGAAAAATCTGCTTTAGAAAATTTTTGACTTTCAGAGGCAGAAGCGAAATAGCAAATTAATATTATTAAGATGCTAGAATGGTTTCTTGAATAGTCTGCCCTTGGTGGTCTAGGTGGCCTAGAAAAATCTGCCTTCTTTACTTTTTATTTTTATTTTTTAAGGGTATAGCATATATATAACATATATATAACATATATATAGCATACCAATATATATACCAAAAGATAGTATAGAAAAATTCAATTTTTTTTCCCTAGAACTTTATTTTTACTAGACCACCTAGTAAATCTAGGAAAGATAATACAAGAACAAGTTGAATTGAAAAAAAACACTTTCTCCTATAACAAACTCTGCCTTAGGAAGTGGTCCAGTAAAATTTCTGCCCTAGAACGCTCAAAAAATAGCATATACACTGTCCTAACCTGATTTAAACCATAATTGGACCTCACGAAAAAAAAGGTGATACTTTGGTATTATATAATTAGCAATATATTTTTAGGACTAGAGAAGTGTGCAATCGGAGATGCTATCATTCAAAGAGATTTAAAGTCCACTGAAATTCTAGGCAGGTTTTTTGCAAAGAATGCAGTGAGCTGATAAGATCCAAGTATGATTATTGTGATACGCATGCAAAAAAACATAGATCAAAGGAACACTATCATCAGAAAAAGCTGGCTGACTTAGCTTCGATACAGGAATTGTTCTAGAAAATCCATCTCAGTTTATTAATATGCCCCATTTACTAGAACGGATTTTGGGTAGGTAACTTCAGAAATATTATATAAAATAATAGAACTTGCCTACCCTAACACTAGTATGAAATCAGGTATATGTATGACGAACTTAATAAGCAAATTGTAGAAGAAAGGCATCTAGCTGTATCTGAAAAATTTCTCTAGGGACAGGGGGCTGGCTCACAAAAATTTGGCATATATACCTGATGCAATAGAATGTTGGCCTTAGGGCTCAGTATCACATGACATCCAACAGAAGTCCATATGGTATCACATGATCACGTAGTTATATTCGGGTGATCTAATTAGCTAAAACATAATATAGAGTAAAGATGGTACAGCAATTGATTTCAAATTTACAAAATGTTGCAACATAAGCTAAAATTAGTTGCAACATATG